CTTCCATTTTGATGTGTAGCTAGTGGAACTAAACCTTTTAGCTGATGGAACTAAATATTTTTCTCGGCATGAAGATTCTAAGCTCATTGAAAAATTGGATTGTTCTTTGCCTAAAAACAAAAGCGTTGCACTACGTGGTTGACTAGTTGGCGCTATTGGCAAAGCTTTCACAAAATGAAGCACCACAGCACCTGCACATGTATCATGCACAAAAGAGGGATCCAAGGTCTTCACCTATGTATTTGCAAGTTGAGACGGAACATGGTAATTATATATATTATAATATGTATATCCTCAATGTTGGTAGGTAAATTTTTCCGTTTGGTAGCATATGTTTGCAGTTGACCTGGGTGACCATTGTTACCTGACCCCTGTTGCTGTCGACAAAATGCATCAATTCAATTCAGCTTTAAGCATGCAAACGTTTCAAGCAATTCCGGTTGGCGAACGCAACCCCGAACATGATTACATGTGTCTGTATGCAATGTAATGTCACGTAAATGCAGTGGACGGTTTTGTTATGCAATGTTTTTGGTTTGGTACGTGGCTTGGTGTGACTGTACAATACATGTGTGAACGAATGAGTGTATGAATGAATGTATTTATGTGTGTACGCGCTGGAATGCTTTGTGTTGAGGATTGGAATGCAATGTGTATAGCCTATTCTATTGTATTGTATATTGTACTGTATTGTACTGTACTGTGCTCTACTGTATGGCATTCTACTGAATTGTATTGTAATGTAATGTATTGTAATATATTGCGTATTCTATTGCATTGTGTTGTGTTGCAATGGCATTTGTTGTATATTGTATATTGTCTTTATGTTTCTCCAAATGAATGAACGAATGAGTGACATGAATGAGTGACATGAATGAGTGATTTGAAAAAAATGTAGAATGATTGTATGTAATCTAATGTAATATAACATAATGTAATGTAATGTAACGTCGTGAAATGTAATGTAATGTAATGTAATGTAATGTAAGTTCGTGTTATGTGATGTTATGTGTTGTTGTGGTATGTTATGTCTTGTTATGGTATGTTATGGTTTGTTTTGTTGTGCTATTGTATGTATGTACATATGCATGTAAGTATGTATGTATGCATGTTAGTATGTAATGCAATGAATTGCGAGGCGATGTGATGTAATGACATGTATTTTAAATGTTGTGTTATGTACTGTTATGTCTTGTTCTGTGATGTTGGTGTATGTATGTGAGTATGTATGTATGTATGTATGTATGTATGTATGCATGCATGCATGTATGTATGTATGTATGTAGGTAATGCGCTGCGATGTGATGGGATGCAATGCAATGCAATGCAATTTAATGCAATGCAGGTATGTAATGTAATGTAATGGAATGTAATGTAATGTAATGTAATGTAATGCAAGTATGTAAGTATGTAAATATGTATGCAAGTAAGTGGGTAGGTATGTATGTACGTATGTATGGCATGTATGGTATGTGCGGTATGTATGGTATGTATGGTATGTATGGTATGTATGGTATGTATGTATGTGTGGAATGTATGTATGTCATGTATGTTTGTATGTTTTGTATGTTTTTGATGTTTTGAATGTGATGCATGTTAAAATTGTTATGCAAGTACTGTATGTAAAGTATGTAATGTATGCATTGTAAGTAATGTATGTAATGTAATGTAATGTAATGTAGTGTAATGTAGTGTAATGTACTGTAATGTAATGTAATGTAATGTATGTAATGTATGTACTGCATGTAATAGATGTAATGTATATATGTAATGTATGTATGTATGTATGTATGTGTGGAATGTATGTATGTATGTATGTATGCATGCATGCATGTATGTATGTATGTATGTATGTAATGTAGTAATGTATGTATGTATGTAATGTAATGTAATGTAATGTAATGTAATGTAATGTATGTATGTATGTATGTATTAATGTAATGTAATGTATGTATGTATGTATGTACGTATGTATGTATGTATGTGTGTATGTATGTATGTATGAATGAATGTAATGTAATGTAATGTAATGTAATGTATGTAATGTAATGTAATGTAATGTAATGTATTGTAATGTATGTATGTAATGTATGTAATGTATGTAATGTATGTAATGTATGTAATGTATGTAATGTATGTAATGTATGTAATGTATGTATGTATGTAATGTAATGTAATGTAATGCAATGCAATGTAATGTGATGTAATGTAATGTAATGTATGTATGTATGTATGTATGTATGTAATGTATGTATGTATGTAATTAATGTATATATGTATGTATGTATGTATGCAGGCATGCATGCGTGCATGCATGCATGCATGGCATGTATGGCATGTATGGCATGTATGGTATACATGGTATGCATGGTATGCATGGTATGCATGGTATGCCTGGTATGCATGGTATGTATGGTATGTATGTATGTATGTGTGTGTGTATGTATGTATGTGTGTATGTATGTATGTATGTATGAATGTATGTATGGTATACATGGTATGTATGGTATGTATAGTATGCATGGTATGTATGGTATGTTTGGTATGTTTGGTATGTTTGGCATGTATGGTATGTATGGTATGTATGGTATGTATGGTTTGTGTGGTATGTGTGGTATGTTTGGTATGTTTGGTATGTTTGGTGTGGTATGGTATGTAAAGCATGTAATGTATGTAATTTATGTAATGTATGTAATGTATGTAATGTATGTACTGTATGTAATGTATGTAATGTATGTAATGTATGTATTGCATGTAATGTATGTATGTCTGTAGGTATGTTTGTTATGTATTGTATGTAATGAATATATGTAATGAATGTATGTAAGTAACTAATGTATGTATGTAATTAGTGTACGCATGTATGTATGTAAGTATGTATGTATGTCTGTATGTATGTACGTATGTATGTATGTATGTATGTTGTGTATGTATGTTGTGTATGTATGTTTGTATGCATGCATGTATGTAATGGAGTAATGTATGTATGTATGTATGTATGTATGTATGTATGTAATGTATGTAATGTATGTAATGTATGTAATGTATGTAATGCATGTAATGTATGTAAGAATGTATGTATGCAATGTACTGTAATGATTAGTAAGGTTACGGTATGTTATGTCTGTTTTTTTTTTGAATGTATGTATTTATGTATGTATGTATGTCTGTATGTGTGTATGTATGTAAATATGTATGTATGGTATGTATGAATGTTTTGTATGGCATGTATGTATGGTATGTATGTATGTTATGTATATATGGTATGTATGTTATGTATGGTATGTATGGTATGTATGTTATGTATGTTATGTATGTTATGCGTGCGATGTTTAGAATGTATATTTATAAGGTCTGTATGCATGTAATGTATGTAATGTATGTAATGTATGTACTGTATGTAGTGTATGTAATGCATGTAATGTATTTAATGAATGTAATAGATGCAATGGATGTAATGTATGTATTGTATGTAACGTAACGTAAGGTAAGGTAAGGTAAGGTAAGGTAATGTAGTGCAATGTAATGTAATGTAATGTAGTGTAATATATGTAAGTAAGTAAGTAAGTAAGAATGTAATGTGATGTAATGTAATTTATGTAGTGTAGTGTAATGTAATGCAATGTTTTGTGTTATGCGATGTTTTGTAATGTTTTGTCTTGATATTGTATGTAATGCAATGTAATGCAATGTAGTGTAATGTAATTTTGTGTCTTGTAATGTTTTGTTTTTGTTGTGTTATGTTATGTTTTTTTTGGCAATATTTTATGCTATGTTATGTTATGTTATTGTATTGTGTTGTGTCGTGTTGTATTATTGCATTGTAGTGTATGTATGTCTGTATATTTGGTACCTTGTAGGCTGTCATTGCTTGGATGTGGATATGTATGGAATCAGACCGAGGTAAAAACAATATTCAAAACTGAAGACATCGGCATGAAATGATTTATCACATGGGTTGGATTGCTGGGGCATGCCATAGATGGTGAATTTGGCATCGTTGCGCAAGGGCGTGGCTTGGAAGGTGACCCTGGTTCCGGGCGGCGGCAAAACTCGGTGAGGGGACCTGGGGGACCTGGCCGTGGGTATTGGCACGGTGGCCGAGATTGAATTTTTCAAAAAAACGCTTAGAACATATTATATAATGCATATATATATATAATGCATATCAATATTATAAATATTCCAAACCTTATGATGTGTCATTTCCGATCAAGATCTAGATGATTGAAATGGTTCAATTAGTGCAGTGCAACAAACTGAACTCAACGGTTTTTATATAATTTTCAAAATGTCAAAAATCGATACACCAGCAAAAAGGGTTTAATTTTTCCCAACATGTTCCATCCCTGAAAATGCGACAATGATCCTGAGGAAAATGTTTTGGGGTGTGTTTCAACAACCCATATCCACCAACCAGATTTCTTTTGACCCAGGCTTCTGACTTTTGGACCAGTCACTCTATCACCGCGGTCATGGCGGAGTTGCGGCCCCTTTGAGGCTCTTGCTGTGAGTTTGTCAGGTTGGTGCGATGGGTCAGACCTTTGAACCCACACACAAGTAGGTGCACTGCTGAGAATGAGTTGAACGTGCAAAGTCTGGATCTGACGTGTTAACCCGGACCCAATGTTGTTTTCACGATTTTTATTTGGGAGGTTGCAGGGTCCTTCTTATTTGATTTTCATGATTCTTGTTCCGTTTTGATTGCAAAAAGTGAAAGTCAGAAAACAAAACCAGACCTTTCGGCAGCAAGATCCGTTGCAGGGTCACTCCGCACCAAAAGTTCCAAAACATCCTGGCCGCACAAGACGTGCGGCCTTTTTGTGTGGCGGGTGCCGTTGGGATGCTCAGATGTTACTGGGCCGGAGCGGCGTTGCAGGTTTGCAAGGTGCAAATGAAAGTGGAAGCCAGTGGAAGTCATGAAAGTCATGGAAGTCATGATCATGATTTGGCAGTGAAATCATGTGCTGCGTTTCTTTGCTCGGTAGTATTCTTAAGAGCTGTTCATCCGGATGCGTTCGGCGTAGCTGTGGAAAAAAAGTGTCGGAATCATCGACCTGGCAGCCATGAAGTACGACTCCAATATTCTGGTGCCTTGCCAACATTCTTGATGGTTGGACCGGACCTCAAACCTAGTTGAGTTTGACATGCGCAATCTTGTGGCTGTAGTGCGAATTTATCTTGAGAGCATTACAGGGCCACCTTGGGAACGCTTTGAACATGTCCATGTTTGACTTGAGGGATTAATCTACCCAGTGTCAGTAGATTGTAGCCATTGTAATGATTGTAGTGATTGTAATGTAATTAAGTGAATTATAAAGAGATCATAATTCCAAGAATTTTAATGTTGCTCACATCCGGGAGGATCCAATGAAGGTGGCTCTCCATACCGGAAACCTCTGGCGCGACTGTAGGTGCTGAAGGTTGGAACTTCCACCATCATGACCTCCGATGCCCGTGGACAACGCGTGAATGTAGCGAACCTATCCAGATTGGTGGAGGTCCCGTGGGCGTGACGATGGAGAGCCATTTTTTGAGCCTTTTTCCAGTGGTTATGTCAAATGGGGCGACAACCTTGGATGGGACTCCCAAAGGTTTGACCGGAAGATGTCAAGTGGATATGTCTGAATTTTATTGAAAGTTACTTCGGAGACATGCTGGCAATTCCAAGAAAACCAGACCTTCTCAAATACGTGGAAAACTCATGCCTCAGGTCATTGCGGATTTGAGCCATCAGGGCTACAAAGTGGTTTTGGTGACCTCAGGACCTGTTCGGGAGATGGATAGCCCAGCAAGTCAGGGAATGTCAGGGGTATAACTTATATAGCTGTTTATCCAGTATCACCAGCAAATCTTGGACCATTTTTTGGGCATTAGAACTCAAAAAGGCTAAATTCTGGTGACCAGTTCGTGTATTTCAAACCCGCTAAGACTGCTGAGGGGAGGTATGGGGCTGCGTTTGTAGGTAGGAATTGGCCTTTTGGAAGAATGATCTCTGGCTCTGTGTAGTTTTGTTTTCTTCGGGCTGTTGATGCTTGCAGATGAAGATTTTGGGATGGCACAGTGGTATTGGACCTTTGTGCGGAACCAGCAGATTTTCGTGATTTAGGGACACCCAAGTTGCATGTTTGATCATGTTTGTGTTTTCTCAGCCCATTCGGCGTGAAAAAGACCTCACCAGAGATTTGGGATTTTGCTCAGGAGCTGTTGGTATGGGCTGTCGAGAGCTTGGACTGAAGAAAAAGCCGACGAATCCAGAGATGAAACGTGCTGTCGCAGGCGTCGGACAAAGTCGTGGCTTGGCCTTGAAACTCAGCACCCCATTTCACCTGAAAAGTCTAACCCATCCCATGGGGCTGAGATTTTTGGATGCGGGCCATCCAACCGGCTGAGGTATCATGCGGCTCTATTCAGAACTCTTCGAGATACTTGATGATCAGCCGATGGAGGTTTGACAGGTTTGACTCGGCTTTTTATGTGTTTTTTGATCACCGAAATGTGATCCCAAAGATTTCCCCCTTGGGACTTTCAGATTTTTTCACCCAGGACAGTTGGGATGAAGATTGCCCAGCTCCTAGTGAGTCAGCGCGATTTCTTGGAACAGCAGCGTTGGGCAGAGATCCGAGACACCATTTCAGCCTGCTTGGAAGCCGGGGTCGTGCCGGTGATCAATGAGAATGATACGACGAACACAGCGGCTGGGCCAGCTGGGCAGATGTTTCTTCGTGATTTGAAGAAATCCAGTGCTTAGAGAGTCAACAGATGGTGGATTTGAGACGTTCCAGAGTTTGGGACATTTGACATCTCTAATTGATTCCCCAATTGTCGTGACATTTTTCTGCAAAATTTGGGGCTATTACATTGCTGACCTGCCACTTGAATAAATCAGGACGGCGTGCGCTTCGGCGACAACGACAACTTGGCGGCGCTGACGGCGGTACAACTGGAAGCGGAAGGGGTTTTCCTCTTCACAGATGTTGACTATTTGTACACTGCAAATCCCAATGTGGATCCAGCTGCTGAACCTATGAAGGCCGCGGCTTAAGCCCAGGGCTTGACATGGTTGGACCCAAGTTTGTTGCTTTGTAACTTGTGATGCAACTTTTTATGCAGGTTGTGAATGTCCAGCATAGAACTTCTTAGAACATACGCTTTTTCCGTTGTGGTATGTTATATCACATTCCAACTTATACAGGAGTAGATATGAACACAATTCCCTTGCTTGTCCATGTACGAAGGCATGAAGGCGAATGGGTAACATCTCTAACATCGCACAAATGTCAGGCTCCGCATTTTCCAGATTCTAACAGATATTGGCTGTGCAAAAATGTCAGCATGGATCATTTAGGAAGTGATCAAAGTAGGAGTGGTGCCATTTCACCAAATGAGCGAGTATGTTTCGGGGTATACCATTATACAGTTATACCATGTTATACCCTAGGCCCTATACATGCCCTTTACTGTGTTAAACTCAATTAATTGAAACCTCCAATTGGTGACTAGGGATGGTTCTTTTTGGGCAGCATGAAATCGTCTCCATCCTTTTGTAATTATTCATCATCACGAAAGCTAACTTGCTACTCCTAACACCAACAGTAACACTGTGGATAATGTGATAATGATCATGATGATACATCGAATTTCCCATTTCTTTATTTCATACCTGGTAAATATCATTTTATTGACCTGGAAATGATTTCCATGATGGGATCAGCACCCTGACGGTCCCTAAACCCATCAGTTCCAGGTGGTCAACGAGGCTTTCGAGTTGAAGGTGGACACTCGTGAGCCCGGCTCTGGGCTGGGCACCGGGGGCATGTCCACCAAGATCGCGGCCGCGCGCACGGCTCACTGTGCCGGTGTCCTGACGATGTGACGAAATGGGAAATCCCACGGTTTCCATTAAGGCTCCACAAGGGGAAAACCCCACCTATAAATATGGAGGCGAAATGGGGAATCCCCAAAATGGATGGTTTGTAATGGAAAATCCATGAAAACCCTATTAATTATGTTTGAGTTGGAGGTACCCCCATTTTCGGAAAACCTCCAAATGGAGGATTTCCGATTCAGCCATGTTTGATTACGGGATAGAATCCTAGGCCCTGTTTCGCGAAGCCCGGCGAACCCCCCCGCGAAGCCCACGCGAAGCGTCCCTGGACCAATTTGATGCATCACCCGCCTCCGCATCTGGGGCTCAAACCTCACCTTCCTTTCTTCCACCTGCTGAGACATGGTATCTTGCTTTGGCTAGACAAGAGCCCTCGCAAAACCAGTTCGCGAACGCAAAAGTATTCCGCGAAGCCGCGCGAAGCCAACCTTTGCACAAATCCATGCCTTGTGTAGTTTTTAGCGAAGCCCCTCCATCAGTGTATAGGCCTTTAGCAACCAAAAAAAAGACGGCTCAATTTGGCAATATCTAGGGGAGAGACCGCGAACAATCCCTGTGCTAGGTGGACAGTGAATCAGTGAAATGCGTTCAATAGAAAATCCATGGGCAGTGTCCTTCGATTTAGACAGAAAACCGCATTATAAATGACTCCGACAACAGATGGCCCTGATGAAGAACATGAAAATAGTATATATTATATATATTATATATATATTATATATAGAAAGACTCTGGATGCTTTAGCTGCCTTTCACCATCCCGAAGGGTTTTTGGTTGTGTGCTTGAAAAATAGGGTACCCCTAAATCCACTGGTTAATCATCATATTCCATATTGAAAAAGTTATTTTGGTGTCATACTCGATTCTCAGACAAACCCTTCTACAGTATCATGTTGTTGGATATATATATATAATTTGCATATATATATATATATATGTATATATATATATATTCCCATTATATCCTCCTTTTAGCCTTATTATATCCCCATATATATCATGCTTTTTATCCCCATCATATCCCCCTTACATCCTATTGTATCCCCTAATATGGATGGTTTGGAATAGGACACCGACTTATCAACAGCCAAGGTATCCCTTGCGGAATTTTGCATGGCAGACACCCTGAGCGAATCTATAGTTTTTTGTCGCGACTTGACGAGGACGGTTTTTTCCCCCAACAAAGGGCCATTCCCTTGACGGGAGGAGATACAACCAAGAACATGGGGATTAAATGGGATACTTGGGGATATAGTGGGATATATCATATATTTTACCAACAATGTTTGACTTGAGTGAGGTTTTTTCGGGAACAGGGGAATATACCAGCCATTTTTGGGGATATTTCAAGGGATATATTTCACCAATACCGTGATTTTTGGGCATGTCTTGAAATCGGGGGGTCCCAATGGCGAAAATGATACCTTATTTTCATCTATTTTCAGACAAAACCATATCTTGGACAAGTGACATTTTGCAGTGCCTCATGCTTTGCAAGCACAAAAAAACACTACAACATGCCGCAGAATCCGCATAGATGAGCATAAGTGGCCAAGGTCCACCGGAGCACTACTAAGTTGGGGAGCCAGCTCTCACAGATGCAAACAAAATCAGAATTGCAGAGGAAATCACAGTTTCCACAGATCTATGCAAATCCAACATAAGCAGCAAAAACAGTGAAGGTGGGGAAACTATAGTTCTCACCGATACGGCAACAACAGTTATGCCCAATAGAACACCATCAAAGACTCACGAATATGACATTACCAGTAGAAAAGAAAACAACTCGAGACAAACGTCACCAGTACAGCATTACCAGTGGGAAAAAAAGCAACTTGGGAGCCAATGGTTTTCACTAATCTGATAGTACCAGAAATCGGAACAGCGAAGAGACACAGCCTAACATGACCATAGCATGCGTCAGTACAAGATTGCAAACAGAAAAAGACTAGCTTGGGAATATATTTTGTGAACCATGGACCACAAAATGCCATTTTGAATTTCATTGCAGTTTTGTTTGTTTTGGTCCAAACATTTTTTTTGTTTCCGGCATTTGCTCCTTCACCGCAGGACGCTGATTCCACTCATTGCACCAAAACTGCCTCCCCAGCTGCTTGGTCAATGAGTTACCACTGGAGTCTGGTTTAAACTGTAACAGTCAAAGCTCCATATGAATCTCCTTAAATGGTGTTTTCTCGGAATGGCGCTCCAAAAACATGGCGTTCCCCATATTTTGCTGCCGAAAAAACATCCCAATTTCAGGTGAGTTTTGCGCCGAGGTGGCCAGCGACGCCGACAGCGACGTTGCGAACGTGGCGACCGTCGCGGACTGCGACCCCGAGGGTACCCTCTTTGCGGCGCGCGAGGTGGGTGACCGGGAGCCGGTCACGGAGGAGGAACGCTGGGTGTTGAGCCTACCCTTGGTGGGAGATGTGAAGGTGGAGTCAACAATCAGCCACTTGGCACTAATGTGGGTGTTTTTTTTCGGCGAAGGAAGAACGTCGTCAAAAATGGGGAGATGACTGAAGATGACATTTTCTGTAGCAGTAGCTATGAAGATGGGAGAAAAGAGAACCTCATGTGGCAAACACTCAAGTCAATTTTTCCCAATGTTCCCAGGAATAGGTGGTATACTAAACTAAACCGTCTCGAAATTGGAGATTTCTTGTTGGCTTCAAAGGCACATTGGTTCATTTGCAAGAGAACCATGTGCGGATGTAAGGTTAGGTGGCTCTGGTTAATTTGGCTCGACATTGTGATGATGTAGATGTAGGGATCGATTTGCAGGCCGACTTTTCGCAAGTGGTGGGGTGCCTACATTTGTGATCCACACAAAGGGTGGTTCAGAACATTGAAACAACTAATAGTCGCACATGTTGAATTGATGTTGGATCAACAGGTAGTTCACTCCTTAGCTTGTCGAACATTGTGACATGTCAATATTTTTTTTTGGTTATCCTAGCATTGGGGAACTCACTCATTTACGGTTTGTGACATGGGGCCATTCTCAGGTTCAGTGCCTGCCTCCGATTTGAGGGAGTTGATCCTGCAGGTTCGCAATGATTGTGTTTCGGTGTTTAGTTTGAAAGATGGGACCGACATCAGCAAGAAACCCTTAACCAAACTTTCATCATTGTCATCATCCTCGTCCTCATCCTCATCCTCGTCCTCCATGTTACAACCACTCAAGTACACCAAAATAGTCAGGTTCTACAGTCCAGTCCCATCCCCCCCTCTTGTTTTTTTTCCCACTTTCCGCGATATCGCGGTTTCCTAAAATGGGGGTACCCCCTAAATCATCCATTTATAGACGGGATATTCCATGAAATAAACCAAGCATTTGGGGAAGCCATTATAGATGGGATCCTTTTTCTGAACCATCCATTGGAGTACCCTCCGGTATTTTAACATAGCTATTGTTTTCAATAGCCATTTATAACGGATTTTCCCATCAAAAATGGTGTTTTTCCATAGTTATGTTAGTTTACCAGAGGGTATAACCACCATTTTCCTATGGTTTTCCTATGATTTTCCCATAAAACCTGAAAAATGGATCCAACGTCCCGCAGGAGATGTCATCCTCTGGCGATCTCGAGAGGATGCAGAGCCTCTCCAGTGCTGGGCACTATGGCGGCGTGCGCGTCTTCCACGACACCGTGGAGATCGCACGTCCGTCGACGCAGCGTGGGGGTTTTGGGTGGTGCAAAGAGATGGCTTTTTTGTTGGTGGAAAAAAGGAAGGCTGGTTTGATTTTAATGGATTTTATATAGGATTTGATACACAAACAATCAAAAAAAAAGATCCATCAGTGTGCCCTTAGCCGCCTTAGCCCAATTTTCATCCACCATTGCAGACAGTTGGGGATTTCGGCACCTACAAAGCATGAAGAGCTCTGGGGTTTTTGCACCTCTGGGTTGGGGACATCCAAAACAAGGAGCCACCCAGTTTTGATATAAGATCGTTTATAATTTACAATCCCATTTACGACAACTGTAGAGATTGATATCCACAATAAATCCCATCGTTAGCCTAGTCAGAAAACGACTTATTTACTGCTTGGGCCCCCCGTTCCTGCAGCATTTTCATAAAAGTTCATGCAAAAAACAGATACTTCTGGCGCAGGGGAAATCAACCGCTTGGGGTTCCAACAGAGGCAGACCCAGTGCCGTCCGAGGTGTGCGAGTGACCTTCGATGAAGAGGGTGCTTGCAGCTTGCCTCCCAGCGTGCCGGGCATGCAGCGGCTTGGTACAAGATGGTACAGTGGAGGATTCGGGACCAGCTGTGGAGCCCAAAAAAGGGGGACACCTCCACTCGAAAATCGCAATTTCTTGGCGGCAAATAGGTAAATGATCTAGAAATACATGCATCTTTTTTTTACAATTTCCGACGTTCAATAGGGCAAATAATCTTGAATCCAAACATTTTCCCACTGCCATGCCATGTTTGTTTACGGGTTGCAAAGATCATACTTGGTGCAAAGTCATCAATTCTGCAGCCAGGCAAGTCTTGGTGTTGACCCCTGCTGCTGAGAGCTGTTGCGAATCTTGGTGACAAGAGCTGGGAAGATGCGTTCGTCTTTTCATGGGCAGTGTACCATGGGTACAGTGGACCTATATAATCTATATAAGTTGCTGGTAGCTGCTGGGATTCCTCATCGATCTTTTGCTGCCAGTTGAGACTTCGCGATCCTCATGCCTGTACCCAGGACATGTGAAGTTCCGACTGGCCATGTGATTAGTGGCCCTTGCACAGCCTGGTTCATGCCGAGTTGATTGGAACATGTGTGGCTGAATCAGCCATGCAGGAATGATCCAGCCCAGGGCATGAATGAATACTCCTCTGCAACAAACAACTAATTCATCAATGTCATCGCACACTGTCGATGACATTCGCGTTGTGCCGGCTTCCCCGTGGAAGTTGGAGGGCACTTTCCAAAGGATGAAGACATCACGTCCTCAGTTATCCAACAGTACCCTCGTCATCAAGACAGATCTCCTGAACAAAACAAAACCATCTTCTGAAACTGGTACTAGAGTCGCTGCTTGAGACATATTGTCACCACTTCTGTCTGAAGCATGAAACCTCACCGTGAAACAAACATATACATAGCTTGTCATGGGTTTTCCGTATCATATCATACATGTTTGCCTGGTAAAGAAATTGTATGTGTCCATTCATCTGAGTTTGCATCCCCACTCTATCAGCCCAGTGTCAGCCCAACTTCCCGTGGCCGATCTATTGAATGTAATCGTAATATTAATAAAGCTTCAGCTGGGCATTCCTGAGCGGCAGCCAGTGGCTGGCCTCAGGGGCAGTTGAACATCTCTTGCGTTCAACAGCACTAATCTCTTGTGATGTCATCACTGGCCCCCACCGTTTTGCGGTTGACTTCCGTGGCTGGCGACATCCGCTGTCCGTTGACAGAGCTCTCTTGGAAGCTTCGCCTGTGCGTGAGTTGAGGGGGCTGAGATGGACAATCAATCCCCTGGGTCCCAAACTTGGGGCTTCCCCCCTTCCCATCCCCTGTCCAAAACAGAACTAGGAACAGAACACATTTTTGGTAGACACAGATGGGGAGTGGGCTGTCCCCAGGTGGGACCCACCTCACAGGGGCTGGGGGGCCAAGATATTGAGTGGAGACTAATTCATGCTATATCCGCTACATATCCGCTACCCAAATGCCACAAATTTTACGCATCTTTTGGTGACTTGTCTACCTCATATAGACCCATCTCATTTTGTGTGATCTACGCATCTCGCACACAAGTCCCACACAAATCCCACACAATAACTATACAGTTCTTGTACATTTCCTACACACCTTGGCACTTGTACAGCCGACATAAGACGCCCCCGCCCTGCAGTTTCTGTACAGAATGGATGGCCTGACTCCATCGTGCCGTTCGCCTGGCATCTGGGTGTGTCCAGGCTGAGGGTGGCGAGGCACAGCTACCCTGGCGCCAGTCTGTGCTGTCAAAATGTGTGTGGTTGACGTCGACACCTCACCAGTTTCAAGAACCCCAGTTAGTTGATGATTATAGGCAATTATAGGATGTTGGACCAGCCAATATTAATTGGTTCCAACAGGTGACGCTGCTTGCCTGGGATTTGCCCAGAAGGACTGGGCAGACCATGTTTGACACGCAAAGTAATTAGTGGCCGGTGGCCCATTTCGGCCATGTCCAAGAGAAATCCCTTTCGACTTTAACAGTTCCTGTGAGCATCAGATGCTAGTCTGAATCCAAAATGTTTGACCTGACATTGTGAGCTTGGAACGACTGCTCGCGCCCAGGTTTGCACAAACCGCTTCGCAGTCTCTGCTTGAAAAGGGACTCCGCAAGCGAAGTTGATGTAGAGTATGTCCCAGCATTTGAAGACTAAAGCGAGACAATGTTGAAATCGACATACAGTAGTGGGGAACCAAGGGACCATGACGGACCATGTTGAGATGATAAAAAGTGCAAGATGACTGGTCAGTTGGTAGTTGGATGTGTGACAAGGTGCCAAAATTTGCCCCGTTGCTCTGGAAAGCTTCATACGCAAACTGCAGGGATTTTCTTGGTTCATAGTTTCTGAAAGATGTTAGGTTAGGGTCTAAAGCTCGTTCTCGCGCCCTGCCATGGATCAGGCCTGGGCGAAGGGTAAGAAATGAAAGGGCGGAAATGCAGGTTCTTGGTCTTGTACTGTCTTGTACTGTCTCATAGTTGTGGGACAGTTTGGACTCAACGAGGGGTATGCCCTGGGGTGAAGGTGCACCATCCGCCGCACTTGCCATCCAAATCCAGTGGTTTGTCATCATTTCTTGGACGAAGATCACACCACTTAGTGCCTGGATGCAAACTGGGTTTCCCACCCACTTGTCGTGGGACTTGTCAACCAGGCCCATTGTTGATGATTTTATCCGAATGTATACAACTGTGCAATATATATATAATTATATACACATACAGTTGTATACATAGTATATAATGAGATATGTATAGATTGTCTATGTACATGCATGACGCACATTATTTACTAATACCAATGTGCAAATATATGTACATTGTATGTATATATATATATTATATATATAATATATATATGTATATATAGATAGATGTACACATGTGTATGTATGTATCCCGATGACTTTTTTCAGTTACCACATTTTTGAAATACACTTTTGTTCGTGAACTCCACCCCTTGTGTGACATCTAAGCTTTCGCTTTCAAGGCGGCGCCGCCTTTGCCGGATGGATATGTGCTGCGCGAGATGTGTAAGAGCGACTACCGAAAGGCTTGGAAAAATGGGGTAAACGAAAGGGAAACAGCAGGGAACATGAAAAAGGGCGATTGCATTGCTATTGTGGGGTTGGCAAAGTAAGACCTTCAAGGACTTTCGTGAGAACGTATAGAAGGGCCAAATGCAGAGACAGAGGGGCAGACATTGTCGCAGTGGTACAGGTTGCCGATGTCCGCTGCAGAAAGGTTTCAGCAGATTCCTAAACTCAAAATGAGAGAAATGCAACAGCAAAATTGCATAAAATTGCATAGGCTTGTCGGCATCACGTGACACTACCAAGTTGTAGAAGCTGAGGGTCCATTTGCGCCGATCGAAACTCATGGCTACTGTGGCGCCCTGTGCTTACTATGGCTGCGGCTGTGGGCAGCCGGGTCACATTGCCGCCTTCCAACAAAGTGGGATGGCGTATCCAACTTATGCACATCAAGATCCTCCTGTCAAGCTTCGCTTGCGCCGCCTGTTGCTTGAGTTGAAACCCCTGGAAGAAAAGTACTGGGAAGCACAGCAGCTGGTGCAGCAGATGGCCGTCCATGAAGTTGGTCTTTGGGTCCAAGCCATCCTGGAGAAGCCTCTGCCAATGCAGTGGATGCACAATCTGAGCATTCACATTCTTGGAGAACTTCTTCAGCGACATCCAGCTATTGTGACTTCTGAGTTCGGCAAGGTGGGTACGGTTCAAAGTTATAAAATAACAGATACCATGCAAATTGGATGGGGTTTGTAAGTCCAATTGACTACTGTACTTAAAATAGGTTCATGTTTGAGCCATGGCCAGGTGAGAAAGAACGTCTCATGGCTCTTCCCGGAAGACGGAGATGTGGACCGCGCAGCGGCCTTTTTTCGAAATCTCCTTTGGACAAAAGAGACCATGGGCCAAAACACCAAGAGTGAAGCCTCCACATTTTCAAAGCTTTTGATGAAACGTACGAAGCAAAACGACCTCTGCAAAGTGCCAGCATGCACTGGGAGGGCTTGGTTGGTCCACATTTGGAAGGATGTGCCTTCCACGCGTCCGAACCTAGATTTGTTGGTGAGCTGTGTGGTGCGCTGGCTCGCAGACCCTTATGAGACACAAGGACGTCGTTTCAGACGCATTCCATACACGGAAGTCCAAAGCCAAAGACTTTTGAAGTCTCCAATTTCTGCTGGTTGAGCTTCCACCTTTTCCTGCTTCAATTCCTGGTTGAATCACTGTCTCTTGGTATTTGTTTGTATTGTTTTGGGCCCCTTGAAACCTTGAAGGAGCAAAAGCTGCCTGCTTGAAAGTTCTCAGCGAGGAAACGGCTCGACTTCGGCCTCCTGCAGATTTGGAAACGTGGATAATTTCGCTGCTGTTCCAGGAGGCAGATGTGGGTCAAAGGGTCAAAAGCTAAAAACCGCCGAATGTTCCATGCAGGTGTTGGATCAAAATTTAGTCATTAAGAATTGGAATATTAACGCAGGTGATTACTTCACATCATTGCAATTGTTTTTCCATTTGAATTGGAACATGGGGGTCATTACCTTGTTCTGAATCGGGGGCAATAAAATGGATAAGTAAAATGAACAGAACATAATCCCAGCATTGGACCGGCCTTCAGCAGGATGAAAGGGGTTTTGAATGTTTGTGACACATTCGCAGGTCTGTCGCCATCCAATGCAGCATTCACCGGATTTGCAGCAGCTTCTGTGGCCTGGTGATTTTTACGTAAACTTTGATATCCTTCTTTATCCAACTTTTTTGCGACAGCTATACCGGGCTAGACTGGTCTAGTGAGTCTAGTGGTTTGGATAAGTTCACAAGGAGCTTATGAAAGCTGCCAACCTTCCAAGGTGCCTGCTCCATGTTCCGCCGCACCCATCATCAGTGAGATGTTTGCTCGGGTCTTCCCAGGATCCGGGCTATTTGATGACCCTATGGGGTTGCTTATGCAACTGGTTGCCCCAGGCCCCTTGGATGTCAGGGCAAGCTTGTGAAGCTTGGTGCTGGGCCGGACCGCCTCCGTTATATGCATTGCTTCGTGCGATGCTGGTGGCCTTCTCCCAGCTGCCGGACTCCAGGAATTTATGCCGCTCAGCCATTATGGCTTTGGCTGCATTGGGAACAAGCAGTTCAAGCATTTCCACCCAGGCGCCTGCCTTGCTGCTTATGCTCTTTCATGATGGGCCTGTACTTCCAGCAGAGGTGTGGATGCCTCTCTTGCCTCTTTTGGACTATTTGTCCCAGTTTTCAGAGCAGGCGGTAGAATTGGGCACCAGATTGCGTTCATTGGCGAGTGGAGGATTCTGGACTGCACCACGCTTGGGAGGGCAGATGGCCAGTCCGCCAAATGGACAGATGCAGGCTCAGTTAGCCACTTTTCAGACCGCGCCAGGCGCAACTTGGAGCCAATGTGAACGAAACCAAATTGGAATCCATCAATGTCACCAAGCACACGGTCAAGGGTGGCCGCAGGAATACCAGACATGCCACCCAGCTCCGCCAAAACAAGCGCAGGGGGCACAAGGCTGCATGCAACCGTTCACAACACAAACAGAGTTTCACACATTACCCCAACAGACATCAAAAGCAGTGACGCACAGGCAGCCCAGTGTTGGACTGCAAAACACCAACAACACCTGCTACATGAACAGTTTCATGCAGGCGCTCTTCCTCACTGACGCCTTTGTATGGCGCATCTATGACTTCACCCTGAAGCTGAAAGCCAAGGCATCCAAAATTGACG